GCAGGCTGTCGAGTTTTTCCGTCGGTGGCTCTGTTGGTTGGTTCCTATTTAAATTCTTTACCTTAGAGTCAATCATTTACTACTCTTAACTCAAACTGGGTAAAACCATATAAAAAAGGACTATAAAACAGGAGTAAAAAAATAACAGAGTTTATTCCAGGTCAGGTCGTTACAGGACAGAGAAATTGCTCGGAGTTGGTAAAGCTGTGGGCTCAAAAAACGTCAGCGAGCATCTGGCAAAGATTGAGCCCCTTCTTATACCTCATGAGTCTATGTGTTGCATCAGGTGGATGCTTAGCTGTCCGTATCAGAATCGCTAAATTTAATACCATTAAAAGTAAAGTATTGCTGAACAACACTGGAACAATTGCATCATTAACTATGTTCAATCATATTTAATAAATTAGAAGATTATTAATAATCTAATTTATTCTTTTAACTCACTTCAATAAAACTTCAAGTCAAACACATCATACAGATTCATTTCACTCAGACTGGTGTTTTTTTTAAGACTTTATTGCTGTTGATTAAAATTATTTCCCACTTGCAGTTAATTAAATCAAAATAATTATGATTAAAATCTTACTTTGAACCCAAAAAATAAATGCATAAATAGAAGGTTAAATTGACCTATCACACAAATCCCCGCAACACTCATCTTCTGTCTCACAGAGGATGACTGTAACATACAGTCAGAGCCCTGAGTGCAGTTCTGAAAGGACTCACCTGGACGGTGGGCTGCAGAGTCCAGAGGGATTCGCTCTGACTGTGCCTGCTGTGTTGGCCTTACTTGATGGGATTCCTTAAATCAGTGAAGGAATGAAAACATAACAAAAACACATTATTAATACAGGACAATATCATCTATTTGTGACTGACATTAGGGATGAAACTATTATTCATGATTAATCTGTTATTGAAATAATCATCAACTACTTTAGTAATAGACTAATCGTTAACTGGAATATAGAGACTCTAAAATGAGCTGACAGAGCAATCCACTGGGAGCTCCAATTATACCAAAATTGTAAAAAAAAGAGATATACAAACATTTTGCATTTAAGTGCATTCAAGCGGAAAAAGTTTGAGTTTCACCTGGTTTAATTTCGTTTAAAAAAACTTCTTTAAGAAACCTTTGGCTATCTGATTATTTAAGGTAGAGCGGAGGAGTTTCTTTTTCCGAGTTGATCATCAAAATAAGCGTTCCTCCTTATTGCCAATCATTCTGGTGATATGTTTACATAAGGCCTTCCTACGTGCTCGTCCCCATTTTCACTTACCGTTAGTGAGTCTGACATAGTGGAAAAATTGCAAATTTTCTTTAGGAAAGTGAGCTTGTATGAGCGATGCAAACAGCAACTTTAAAACAGAGCGTGCACGAGGAGAAATGGGCTTCTGCACGCACTCGCACGTGTTTAATAGGCGTACAGGGTTGTGCATTTGCATTTTTTTTCCTGGAGAGTGCAGGTCTTTTCAAGAAATCCTCCTATATACCTTTAATCAAAAAAATATTTGCAAGATGAATCGATTTGGAAAACAACCGTTAGTTGCAGCCCTAACTGAAATTAACTTTCAGATACATCTGAAAAGAGCTTTTTTTTTCTGAATAGTAAAGCATCTGCAGAGCAATAGCAGCTGCTACAGCCAGTGTTTGATCCATAAATCAGCTCCATTTTCCTTTTTAAACTTCCAGACATCTCTTTATTGATAATAAACTCCAGTTTATGATAGTTTTCTATCTACAATATATCATCTTTGCATTTATCAGATCTGCTTTTTAAACAATCTAACTGGCATGTATGTAGTGTCTAATGGTTGCCATGGAGACTTGGTGAAAACGAGATGCAGCTTGACTGTAAGGATCTCGATCACAAAAAAAAAAATGTATGGTTTTATTGTTTATTGTGCACAACCACCACTTGCAAAAGAAGGGAGGCTGTTTTAAAGCCAGTTTCTGAGTACCTCAATATTTACATGGCAACAGTGAAAACAGTAACCGCCTTTTGGAAAATTTAGGGAACTACAACTACAGAAACAAGGTCAAGAACCCTTCAATATCCTCATCGTAGAGGGGGGAAATAAAAAAAAAAGGGAGGAACGTGGTTTTCCTTCGGCTACAAAGAAGTTACATAAAAAAGAAAAACGGACATCAGCAATACTGTAGAAAAAAAAATAAGACCATAAGTCCTGACAAAAGCTCTTAGTCAAGTTATTCCAATTTAAAATCTACCACATAAAGCAGTCCACCATCTGTTGCCTTACCAGTGCTCTGTCCCAGGCCTGATCTCTGGGGTAAACGGGAAGAGGCTGAGGGGATTGCTGATGCAGCAGGAGAGTTTGCTTTCTTTACAAGACCAGGAGGCTTAACCTGCGGCAGAACAGAAAGATTCCTGTAATAGATGAAACATTCGGCACCATAATTAACAAAACAAGAATGAAAAGCTCTTATTTTGAAGTATCTACATATAAACTGAAGGGGAAAATAAACAATAAGGTGCCGCAGCTGGAAACAAAGTGCAAAACCGTTAAACATCAATAAGTTTTAAAGTGTTTAAAATTCAATAAAAAAAAACAGGAACGCAAATAATCAGTGGGACAAATTCGAAATGATGAATAAAAGCCATTTCCATCCATTAATTCATCAACCCAGCTGCGTGTGCTCTGATGTTCTTCTTCTATGTTCGTAAAAAAAAAATAAAGCTGTTCCTTCATTACATATCTGTGGAATTCAAGACTAGACCAGAATTTGGCAGGTGGTTAAAAAAGGAGCTTGTCTGGAGATTGTCTGAATGTACCATCTAGAAAGCTGCCGGATCGTCTGTAAAACTCCTACCTGTGAGAATGAAGCATAGTTTCACTGGGTTGAAGTCAAATAAGAGACCGGAAAAAAGCAGGATCTTTTAACAGGATCGTCGGGATTATCTGAGGGCAATTTTAGTAAGATTAAATAAGATTAGACTGAATCAAAAGGCACTCCATGTCTTGCTGTATTGGCCTTTTGTCCGACCATCACCAGGACAATGATTGCAGTCAGGTATGTCCAGACTGTCATCCCTCACTCAGATGTTTTTATAAGTCATTCCAAGCATGCCGTGTTCCTTTTGTTCTATCTTCTCAGGTACAGTTGATCTTCATTGATAAGCTTTCTTATGGTTGATTCGTATAATAACATATGAACTTCCTGGATTCTCGTTCCCTCAGTGAAAACTTATTTGTTTAGTCAGAAGAAGCGTAGCAGTCTTTCTAAACTGGGCTTTCTTTTCAGGTTTAGTGTTTATTATCAGATTATGCGAGTAACATACTCGGATTATCTGATTTTTTAAAAAGCACAAACTGTGTCCTCTGATTGTTTTACTGATTTTTTTTTCTTTTTTTGATGTGCATGTGTGTACCTGTGTGCGACTTGGAGGCTTCTTGGCATCTCCTGACTTGTTTTTATTGGGCATGCGGGCGGCTTGCTCCTGGCAGAATTTGATGTGTCTGTCAGCCGCATTCTGATTGAACCTCCGCTGACAGCACGGGCACTGGATGTAATCTAGAGAGCAGGTTAGGGAAACATAGTAGTTGCCTTTAATAAGGAAAGTCCTTAAGATGCAAGAACCATAGCTCATTTGCGCAACTTTTCTGATTTTTATTGACAAATCACAAAAAAAGAAGAGACGAAACAATCCACCTTGTTACCTGGATCGTAAGATGGAGGAGGAGGTGGAGGTAGCGCCCCCCCTTCCTTCACTACCTGAGTGGCGGCCTTGGCAGCTCGAATGGTGGCAATAAAGTCCTCATGCTTCTTGCGCCAATTGGAGGGCTTCTTAGGAGGCTCTGCCTGACAGGGCAACGATATGGTAGCACAGTTGGTTTTCGATTAGCATGTTTGCGTAGCGTTTAACGGTATAACAAAAAGAAAAGATGTCTTCGCAGCCTCGATTTCAAAAAAAAAAAATCTTTGAAATATTTCATCTAAGGCAGACATGTCCACATAATGCCTTTGATATACTGAATATAAACAGCGAATGCAGCAGTGTCGCTTCTTACTGTCAGAGATTAAGAAAAGACAAATTTATAGCTGCAGTTCAAGCCTTATCTAAAGCTAATCATTTAAGACAGAAATAGTTCACCGCTCTATGCCTGGACTGCATCTGTTGCAACATGATAGCTTTGCAGACTTCTTATTTCCTCCTTCAGTTGTGCTGCTTTAAGTTTATTGTGTACATCTGTCTGACAAATGGAGCTGATTCCGAGAAGAAGAAAAAAATATTTCTCCTTTTTTTTTTTTATACTCATTGCATGTCCTTTCTCAAGACATTTCTCCACCTAATCTAAAGATGTTTCTTGACTGCAAGACAGCAAAGCAAATACATACAGAAATCAACTGATTGGCCTCATTACAGACTGCAGGACATGACGGAGAACACTTTCATTTCGTACGGAGGTTTGAAGCCATGTTTTCTAAAAGCAAAGCCTTTCTTTGACAAGTTTTATCGACTTAATTGCAAGCAGCAAAGATTAGCATTAAAGATCATGACGCAAGACATCTTCACATGCTGGCAGTTGAAAAGTTGGACCAAAACAGAAAAAAAGCTGCTGATTTTCTCCTCATACTGACACCACAAACAAGAGTTAACATGCTTTTGACGACTTAACACCATCGGCTCAAAGCATAGATGTCAGTATCTACAAAGTCAGAAACTTTTGCTCAAAAGCCTGGAAGACAAAATCAGAAAAATTATGCATCTATTAAAAAAAAAGAGAAAGATGTATGAAAAGAAGGAGTCAACAGAAATGAAATGCAAATAAACTTACTTTCTGTGAGGCAGCTGAGCTTTGAGACTGAAATAAAATTGATAATGTTTTACATTGGAAAAAAAATCCTATCATCACAAGGTAAAAGCTACATCCTGCATGGAAACACAAAAGGATTTATGTTAAAGTTGTTAATCAGGGTAAAAAATCCCGATACTGGGAATATTTTAACGACTTATACCAGCATTATATGGATAGCAAGTTTTAAGTACGAGCAGGTGGATCTTCAACACCCTTTTGATTCCTTTACTTGGTCAATTCTTATAGAAAAATATAGCATATATGTGCCATTTATATATATATAAAGCTAGTTTTCATTGCATTTTAATTGTATTTCCAACAATAAATGAAAAAAGCTGCACAGTCTTGAATAATTTGGAAATGTTGTATCTCTTTTCCTTCCTCTCGAGGCTTACCTTTGGTTTGATCGGTTTTAGCGTAGAGATGTCTGTTCCCTCGGCTCTCTGTCGGCTGGAATCAAAAACCTTTCTCCTTTTAGTTGCTGCCTTTTGGCAAATTTTTGCATGCTTTTCCTGTTGGAAGAAAAGAATAATAGATCCATGTGCTGATAAAAGTACATGGAGATAATGGAAATATCTGGAATATTTCAGACTAAATCCTTAAGTTAATCTACTCCCATAATAATGACATTAGCCTTTCAAGCTAAAAATAATATGCAAACATCTTCTAGTCATGCTAATAGACGTTGCTAAGTGGTTTACAAATGGTACTCTGCAATCGATGCGATAAGGAGATGAGAATCATTGAAATCTGTATGCTTGAATGCTGAGGAATAATCTCCCTGTACGTTTGAAAAAAATTGAGTTGAACATTTATTTGGATCATGTAAAATAGCTCTATGAAAATCTCAACAGATCTGCTATTTATGTTACTGATAGACACAAAAATATATGTTTTTCCCTTTTTTGATAGATAAAACAATTTTAATGAAAGGCATCAAAACTTTTAAGGTACAAACGTGATTATGATATAGTCCAGTGGTGTCAAAAGTGCAAATATTTTTTACTTAAGTAGAAGTATAGATACTGCAGTTTAAAAACACTCTGGTAAAAGTTAAAGTATCAACTTGACCTCTTTACTCAAGTAAAAGTGAAAAAGAATGTGCTCCAAAAACTACTTAAAGTATAAAAGTATTAAGTAACCTTTAAAAAAAACAGCCAGATGCCACTATGTGAATTAAAAGCTCTATTTTTGGGCTATTTCAAAAAAAATTCTTTGAGATAGGGCCAAGGATGAGGGAGGTCTTGTTGGTCTCCGTCTCCCGATACGCTCTCGCCTGCGTCCGATCTTTCAGACATTTCGACATCTTTTTCTGAATCCAACATTGTAGCATGGCATAAATAATTCATGTTTGCAGTTTGAAGAACACCTGCTTGCTTCTGATGATTTCCTTTAGCTAACCAATGAGTGTTTGCGTTATATGACTCATCCAATTACACTAGTTTTCACGAGATGTGGATGGCGCACATGACGTGGATTAGATATTTAATAAGCTGGTGAGGAAGGCCACTTCTGTCCTGGGCTGCCCTCTGGACTCGGTGGAGGAAGTGGCTGAAAGGAGGATGCTGTCCAAACTCACATCCATCATGGACAACACCTCTCACCCCCTGCACCAGACTGTAGAGGAGCTGAGCAGCTCCTTTAGTCAAAGACTTAGACACCCTGTCTGTAAAAAAGAGCGCTACCGCAGGTCAGTCATTCCTGCTGCCACCAGACTCTATAATAATGCACTATAACCACAATAACTTCAATAAAATCCACTGTGCAGCTATATTATAGTTTTTTTATTTATCGACTGTGAAATATTCTGTGCAATATGCTGAATGTGCAATATATGTGAATAGAATAGTCATACCACTACCTCACCGTTGCTCCTTACCTACTACACTTTAACGTAAAAGTAAATCCACCTGTATATAAGCCATCTGGATAGTACATATTTTTAGTTCTTTATTTCTTATTTTTATTTTGTTTTTCATTGTGTGCGATACATGTACACTTGCACCTTAATCCTTATTTATCTTGATATACTGTATATACCTGGATATACTGTATATATATATATATATTGTTTATTGTTTATTCTTAATGCACCTTTTTTCTCCTAGTTGCACCTTCTTTGACTTCTATGCCAATATGTGACAAGTGAATTTCTCCGCTGTGAGATCAATAAAGCTCATCTAATCAAATCTAATCTAATTTGTAAACATTAAACCGAAGCCCAGAGTAACAAGTAACAGTATTTTTAAATTTAAGGAATAGAAAGTACAGATACTTGTGTGAAAATGTAATGATTAGAAGTAGGAAGAAAAATAAGTAATGGAGTAAAGTATAGATACCTAAAAAGTGTACTTAAGTACAATAACAAAGTATTTGTTACTTGACACCTCTGATATGGTTAGGAAAGCAGCTTAATGGGTTTTTTTTTATCATCTAACAGGCTTCTTCCCTTTTAACTTTAGACTTTTTAGACCTTAGATAGATTTTATTTGTCATTTTGTTTACACATGTGCAAAACAAAAAGATATTTGATTTGGAAACTGCTTGCTGGACAATTTCATCTTTTAAAAGTGCAGCCTTGAAAAATATTAAAAATGACTGTAAATTTACAGTTGTAAGATTTATATATTTATAAATATATGTAACCAGAATAGTGTCTAAAGAAATAACAAAGTTCATCCAAATATTGTGTAGTTGTTTTTATCCGAGCAGCTGATTTTCTGTCAGCTGATAAAACCAGAGGAAAATGTGATTGCCTAGCAACATCCAACACTTTCAGTGCAATAAGGGCCTTAAAATTATAAACTGGTTAGTTAAAATGAAACCAGATCATCAGCAGAATTTTCTTTATGGATGCAATGT